TTTTTGAATGTTTCTAATTTTTTTCTTTCTTTTTTTTTTTTTATTTAATCTACTGTCCACATAATTAACCGGACGTATAATATGTGGTAAGATTCTAGGCAGGAAAATGTGCATATATTATTAAAATTAATTATTTACAAAATGATTAAATAGTAGAATACTATTATAATTTTATTATCGACGACTATTATACGATGATTGGTTTCACTCATACGATACTGTTTATATCTAATCTTTTTTTTCCAATTATTATCTTTATCTTACAATTATAATCTTATAATTTTTTTCTTTTCTTCTATTTTTTTTTTTGTAATTTTTAATATCTTCTATGTATTATTATATAATGAAAAATATGAGCATATATCCATTTAAAATAATGATACTGTTCATCCTAACTTTTCTCCGTGTTATAGGAAAGAAATATTTTATTCATCTCTGGAAAGACACCATTTGTGGAGGTATACTACTATACCCCTATAATGCTATCTAAAGTTTTACTAAATTTAATATGTTCATGTCACAAGAAGAAATATCTTTTGGAACACCCTTATATTATATACAGGATGTTTAAAAATATACGAACATAACGTTAGGAATGGTTTCAGTATGCTAAAATAAAAAAAGCAATTCATATAATCATATTTTAGTATATACGCGTGTATATACTCGAAATCTTTGTCTCTCTCTCCCTGTGAAAAATAAAAGTGGAATTCTTATGGATTTACAAATTCATTGAAATTTCTATAAATACTTCAAGACCGTTTCTCGAAACATTTGCTCGACATAGTATTTCCCTAATGAAGAAAATACTTTTTGCATGTAGAACTGATTATGAATTATCTATGATTGGATAGATAAAAGGTCGTTAGAATGAAAAATTATTCTTTTATCTATACGGAAGCTGACCTTCAATCTTTGTATGTTAAATGAGCTGAGTTTTGAGTCAATTTTTCTTGTCGTTTGATCAGGGGTTATATTCTTTTAGGAATTAGATGATAACACTTGACACTAACGATTATTACGCGTTCTCAGTGTACTTCGTACTTATATATCTAGTCCTTGTAAATCTTTACTATTTTGACATTAACAGATCATTGATATATTGGATTAAACTAGAACGAAACAATGTTCACACGCACGTACACGCACACACACACACGCACGCATGCACACGTTGTGGACGGATTTATTAAAAGTTAAAAAAAAAAAAATATACCTTGGATCTCTGTAGATTCATAATTAAGCTATACATTAGTACTGCTATTGTTTTAACGTTTCTTTTTTTTTTTTCTTTACACATCGATCGTGCAAGATGAATTCGGTATAAAGTGCACTGATACTGCATTCAAGATCTATAATTTAGTTTTAAACTTATTATTAATTTATTTAAGTATATATATATATATATATCATTTCCCTTGAGAATCGATTAGGATAATTATATTCTGAAAAGCAATAATTACGGATTATTAATTATATTATTTATGATATGTTATAAAATGAATGTCTAGTACCTTACATGAATGTTTGGTCGTGTTGTTCGTGGATCATAGTTGCTCTACGAGATTGAACCATACCTGCTTGCCTATTATACAATTCTCGTACTAAATTATCCTTTTCTTGTTCAAGCAGTGCTATTCTCTGGCTCTTTTTATTAACTTCCTATTTTAATATAAAAAGAGAAAAAGAAAATAATTTTAATTTTATTTTTTTTTTTATATCTAGACAAAATGTGATCTATGAATTTATAATTTACCTCCGTTAATCTATGATTTTGTTGTTTAAGTCTTGATAATACATCTTGTTGTAGTTGTGCCGATGTTGGCGTAGTTAAGAAAGCTAAATTCATATGCAGTGGTAATCCACCACGTTCCCAGCTACTTATTAAAGCAGCAAGGTGCCTGTTAACTTCTAAAACTCTTGCACGTTGTAACTCTAAACGTTCCTGTTGCGCTTCTGTCCACTGTTCCTACAAATAAACATATTATTGCGTAGAATAATATTTCAATGTGTTTTAAAATGTCACAGTAATGATTAACTATACCACATGCGAGCCCATACGTCCCAAGTGTTTAATTTTCTCTTGAGTTGCTGAAATTTGTTTTAAATACCATTCTCTAGCTTTGTCAACAGCAGCTAAACCTTGCAAAAGAACATCCTTTTCTTGTTCGATTTGTTTCATTCTTTTCATCTAAAATAACACATACATTATCAATTATGGATGTTTTAATTTGAATATAAAGAGAACAGGTTTCTTAACTACAGCAAGCAGATGTTTTTAATGACGAATGCGCAGATAGAACAATCTGTATAGAAATTATATTAAATATTATGCATAACCAAAACCAACCACCCATCTTTAGTTGGGAATCCTATAGGAGAATATCTTTACCATATTGTAGTCAATACCATTCTGCAACGTATGTCGTCTTGGTTCTCTACGTCGATTTAATGGTTTTTTGGGTTGTAAACCTAACTGGTTATTTTGTAGATCTACCGCTTTACCATCTCCTAAAACGCGGGTTGGTCTTAGAAATGTAGTCCTAGCATCGGCTCGATAATTTGACATTGGCAATTGGCGTTTATCCAAACATTTATCATCGTTCATCATTAAACCCATTTGCCAATTCTGCAGCACCGTTCGAATTTCTGACTTATCAATATTTCTATCAGCACTAAGTGCTCTACCTTCTAATGCAGCACCTGTTCGTGGAGGTTTTGGAGGACCATACGCTTTACTGTGCTTAGTTTCTACACCGTTTCTTCCATCAATTAGTTCCAATTGTGTATTTATATCTTTACGATTGGCTAATAATTGTGGCATACTTAAAGTACGTTGCTGAGATATAGCATTATTTGGTCTTATGGTGGCAGTATTAGGAGACGTCCAGTGTCCTTTATTTTGATTATCCGTTATTAGAATCGGAGCAGATGGCGGTCTGTTTGGTTGTCCGTCATGTTTTTTGAAATCACCTTCCGTTTGAATTTGTAACAAACAAATTTTCAAGCCCGCGCAAAATCTTTCAAAGGATAATAGACCATTGGGTGGTGTGACTTTTTTCAGACTATCCAAAACACCTTTAGGAAGACCCTGAGTACCATCGTCCTGCCATCGACCTTCTATGTCGGAAAATTTGACGAAACCAGTGTTCTGATCATCCATTATATCAAAGAGTGTACGCATTGCACCAACAAAATGTTTTGGAAGGCCATCGGCGCTCGGAGTTTGTATTTGCGCCATTTTATCGTTTTAAACATATGATTTTGAAATATTAAATGTACCTTTCTAAGAGGGTAACATATTTAATTATATTTCACTAGACCAATCAAATAAGTTTAACATTTATACCGTAAAAAAGTAAAATATAATTTCTCAAAAATAATGACATTTGTGTATGGTTAACGATCAAGAGGTTACTTCATAATCCTTGACCTAAATCAAATAATTTCTTTATTATATTCTTACACATATAATCTCAAACATTCCGAAATATTCGATCACTCGATTATAACCAAGTGGTATTATACTCAATTTTCGCTTATCCTTCAAATTCAATAATTTCTTTTTCTCAAATTAACCTCTATGATATGTCAATTATGTGCAGCCATACTGTCGATGTCAGATGGAGGGAAATTTTGACGTTTGCGCAATCGTAATCGATACTGATTGGTCGAAACGCGTGGCGCTAAATTCGATATATTTCAAATTCGATATATTTCAAATATTTAAATTTGTAAAAATACAAATTTAAAAAACAAAATTTTCTCTTCTTTTCTATTAGGAACAAAGAGGAAAGGAACTTTTTCTTATCGATTGATCGTTTTATATTCTATAACCTGTTTTATTTAATTGGAATCAATGAAAGAGATTTTTCCAAAAGCAGAAAGAATAATATTCTACATTTCACATGCGTTTTTAAAGACGAAAAAGGGTAATAAACTTTACAGACAAAATAACAACAACAACAACAACAATAACAACGACGACAACGACAACAACTAATAAACTATACAACAAGACATGGAACACCTAGCCCATCGTAATTCGATTATATTGCAATAATATTCTATCGAGGTTTTATTTTATTTCGGAGAATTGGTTTGACGTTCATCAGCGTTAGGGCTCTTATCAGTGTCGTCGCTATCGGATGACGAAGTATCACGAATAATATCTATTCCTTGAGTTAAAAGATTCGTTATTCTTTCGACGTCTACGGTCTCGTCCTGTTCGTGAATTTTTCTCAATGCATTTGAAACGATACACAAATCCCCACGTAGCTCGCTCACAACTGCAGTTATTTTTTGTGCATCGGTAAGAACTTCTACGGATTGCGTGTAAGGATTATAACGCAAACCAAACGGACGTTGAATTTCGTTTGCGAATGCTCTGCGAATGAAAGAACATTAGAACAAATAATTTATTTGATTGTTTTATAAATTGGAATATGTTATTTTCCAATAAGAGAATGCGAATACCATTATGGTGATATCACAAAAATTGATGAAATGAAAACAATTAACAAACTATATATATATAATTCTTTATCCTTACCGCATTTTTTCTTTTGCCTCTTCTATACTGTTAGTATAGTAATACGCATTTTGAAAAGCTGTTATAATGCATTCTTGTTTACAAGTAACTTCAGGCTCAAATCTAAAAGTTTTTTCTGGTGCAGATACTGCGTGTCTTAATTCAGCCACCGAAGATAATAATCCTGCTCCGTAAACTCTATATGCACCGTCTTGTTTGCAAAGACCAAATTCGACAGTGAAAAAGTAGAGCTAAATAAACATATATATATATACCTCATGAAAAGTATGTCAACAAAAATTGTTCTTCGTAAAATATTATATATTTCTTATTATTTCAGTTCTTTTTTTTTTTGTTTCTTTATTAACTTACCGTTGCAAGCTTATCGATGTCGTTATCCGACGCACCCAAGGATGCTAAACCAAGTTCTTGAGAAAATTGTGCGAAACTTTTGTTTGCCAAAAGTGGCATATGTCCTAACAATTCGTGACAGCAATCTCTGTGAACAAAATCATTTAATTATTTTTATAATCTTATATAACAAAATTCAATATATATATGTCAGTTTATTATCAATAAAAATCACACCACGATGACTATACTAGTAAGAAGAAAAATAAGAAAAATAGAAAGAGAGAAAGAGAGAGGAAAGAAACTAATTAAAAATCTAATTATTTATTTATTTTTCTTTTTTGTAAAATCATTTAATATTCTCAACGAAAAAAAGTTACGTTTTTTGTTAAAGGATTATTATTACATTGAAGAGAGTTGTGGTGTTTAATTATACATCAACGTTCAAATATTATCATATATTTGAATATATGTATATATGATAAAATGTTAATTCAAGATTTATATGTATATAAAAAAAAGAAAGGAATTTCAACGTACGGTTCGGGAGTGTAAAAAGGATCCGAAGAATGACGGATATATTGAGTGCAATGAAAAACTCGAAAAGCCAATCCTGCAAGAAAATCTCTCGGTGAAAGATATCCTGCAACTGGTCGAAGTTGGAATCCAGTTGTTCCTGTTAACGACAATTGATAAATACTTATTTTCTTTTTAATAAACAATAACAGGTAATAATAAATTATCTGATAGTTGATATATATATAATAAATGATGATTAGTGTCGCATGTATTGTTTCAAAAATTGTTAATATTTGAAATTTATATAAATGTTATAATAAATATGCATATATAAAAAATTAAAACGATCAAAGCGAGAAGAGTTATACATTTAAAAAAAAAAAAGAAGGAAAAGAAGAAGAACAACAACAAAAAAACAAATGTTACGCAAGATTTGTTAGAGAATAATAAATGAATTTTGTATATAATACGTTAAACGAGTAACCAAGTATTTTCCATTAGTGGATATAGAAGGTCGAGTGTGTTTATCGTATTCGCATAGACAACACGTTTTTTATCGTGTAGTAACGTATCATTATCGTGTCGTTATTGTATCATTAGTAAATAGTTACAACAAATAATTGTAAATAAAGTTAGAACAAAAATATATTCTAGAAATAAAAATTAACAGAAGTTATGAAAATTATTTTTGAAATTATTTGCATTTATTTAATACAGATGCACTGATGCAATCTCGTGTAACAATATCGTTTCATAAAGAAAATTATTGATAATTTTTTTTCTTGATCGCATATTTGTATCATCGTAATATTTAACAAGAGCATGATTCAAAAGTATCCTGATTTCAATCTAAAAGTTTGTTCCTCCTTTTCTTTTAAAACGAAGGGAATTTTTTTTAATTGGTCAACAACTGATCAACAACATTATCCTCAAGGTCGAATAATTTTTTTAAGTGGGTACAGTGTTTGGAATTTAAATCGTAATGAAAATAAATAAATATGCAGGATAGTTTTTAATCTGTAAGCAATAGTCACCATCACACCATCCCCTTATTTGATAAAATAAATGATATATAAAAATGTTAACAGATATTAATCACACAAATGAATTAAAATAATTAATTAATAGTAAGACTCACGTTTTAAGAAAATATTCACGTCCTCCAATTGGGGTATGTTATCTTCCCTGTATAGAAAAGAAAATATAAAATCAAATCAAAAATATATTGTACAATATATCTAAAGAAAAAAAAAAAGAATCTAATTAATAAGAAAACGTTTACCTATAGCCACAATATTTTTCAAGTTTAGGCCAATTTTCTAAATATTCCATGCACGCGTGTTTTTGATAAAGTTGATGCAATTCACGGAAAACTGTACCCCTGAAAGATAATAATAATAATTCAATTAGATAATAGAAACTCAAGTTGTATAGAAAGAGAATAAGAAAAAGAGAGAGATACTTTTCTAAAAGAGTAGGTGTGTGTAGTAGCATCATCGAGTTTATCGAAACACTATATCGTATATCGGAGTAAATGAAATCAGGGCAATTAAGGGTGCATTCAATACGACGAAACGGAGCTTGGCTGTTATCAAAGAATGGGGGAGAAAACGAAGCAGCAATAGAATACAGTGATGGGAATGGTGGTGGTGGTGATGGGGTTGGAGGGGGGGGGGGTAGGAGGAAAGATAAAGTAAGATTAAGGATGAGGGTTGGAGGAGGGAAGGGGGTGGGACAAGAATATGCGTGGGTGTTTGCTCGTTCGTGTTAAAAGGGGAAGAGAAACACTTCCTTGAGAAAAATCAAACGCACTATATACTAAAAGCAACGAAGAATAAAAAAGAAGAAGAAGAATAAGAAGAAGAGAAGAAGTTTACATTACTTTTCTATTCTACGATTGGCTTCGTGTAAGAAAAATCACGTTTTCTAACTTTTCCTTAACGAGAGATAAAAATCATGCGATTTCTTTTTCTTTTTTCTTTTTTTCTTCAATTTATTTATCTTACGACCTTCCTATTCGTTATTTTTAAAATTTACTTACCACGTTCTGATTTCTTCTGGAGTGTATTGAATTCTTGGAATCGGTTGACCACTGCAAATTTGTAATATTTTGTACATGTAATGAATATAAAAGATATAAATCAAGAAGAAAAAGAAAAAGACCGAAAAACATCGATTAAATATATGTACGTTAATGTTATATATATATATATAAGTATCTATTTTTTTTTTTTTTTTAAATTTAAACTTACTATTTATAATTATTCGCGATGTCAGCGAATTCTTGTCTGCGTTTACGATATACCGGATCTTTAAAACCCTAAAATAGGAAAGAAAAGGAAAAAAATTAGATGAACAAATAATCAAGTTCTTTTTTTTTTTTTTCTTTTGTCAAATAACACGTAAGTTTAAGGAATTGTTAACGTACAGGATGATCGGCGTCTAAATCAGATCCATACATCAATACTTTTTGTGCTTGATCGAGATCAGATATTTTTCGCGGGAACCAGTGCATGTCAGTTTCGCTGTAATCTTTTTGTATAAACAAGAAAAAAAAAATATAAAAATGATAACAAGTCGTATTACAATAAAAAATAATACGATATAAGAAGGTGTGATAAAAATCGTGTTGATCAATAAATAAAAAACAAACAAACAAATTTAATTTACCAAAACTCGTAGCTGTAGACAAACACGGTGTTTGTTCAGGAATATTTCCCGTTTTTTCGTATTGCGCTAAATTAATAGCTGCAACTTCCCGATTCAACATGCTCATCAATTGTTCCATCCTTTTGGAATCGCATTCAACGTCAACGAGAATTTCGTATTCGGAACCACGGCGAAGTGATTTTCTCGATTCAATGTGAACAACGTTTACACCTAAATCCTATAGTAAAATATAATTCAAAGTTTTCAATTCAATAGGGATTTTATTTTAATCGCTTTTTTTTTAAAGAACAAAAAAAGAGTCTACTACTTATTTACTTACTTACTTACTTACTTCATTTCTTTCAGAATAGATTATTGATTTTGATATCTTACTTGAAATACTTGAAGCGCCCTAGCCAATCCGCCGACTTGATTTTTCAACGAGAATATTACTGAATTTTTATTTTCGCTATTATTTTCCGTCTCGAGCGTGGGGATCTGAATGAACGAAAGGACATATTTCTTTTATCCGTGTATATATATATACATATATATTTTACCG